TATGTAAGTCAGAACTGGCGGTCAGTTTCAGCAGCGGCTGAATCTGGACGCCAGTTCCGACTTTCATACAGATTCAACTTAAGAACAAACCTACAGTCCCTATCTTGTACATAACCCGGGGACTGCCTGTATATATAAATTAAAGACCTAATTCTGCACTGACCTTTGTGGAACTATCACAGAAAATTATTGGATGTCACTCATTCCTATTAGCTCTGTGTACGTTTATATCATGTAGTTTTGAGACATTAATTGTTCTAATTTTGTTTAAGGTTCAAGGTGTATCATGCTGTCCAGCAAGCTATTGAGCAAAGTCGGGATTCCATCATACTGATCTTTCTTCATGACATTCCAGATTACAAGCTGAATCATGCCCTTTGCTTGAGAAGAGGAATGTTCAAATCTCGCTGCATCTTGGATTGGCCAGCTCAGAAAGAACGGGTCAATGCATTTCATCAGCAATTAAAAATGGCACTTAAATCTAGCAGCAAAATACATTGAATTTTTAAAGTATAAGTTTGAACTCTTAGGACATTGTATTTCAGACTGTCTAAATGGCAACGGCCCTTGTAGGAAAAAATTAAACCAATCCACAGTAATTCGTCTATGTTCCTATTATGTGCTTTTAATTGGTGATTGTTCTTATCCTTCATATTTTGTTTCACCTGTATTCTGAGTTCATGAAATAGTCATGATGGACTGGCAACTCTTTCAATCTTATATCATAAAGAATCAGCCTCTTTAAAATAGAGCAGAAATAGAGAGAGAAGAGAGGGTGATGAGGATAATTAGCTACATGGTAAATTTTCACATGAAGGGATGCTGAAAAGACTGGGATTGTTTACCTTAGGGAGGAAATGAATAAGAGAGAGGCAATGTGATACAAATATACAAAGTAATATTAGAGAAGGGATAATGTGGACATATAGACCTAATTTGTTAAAATGCAGTGATGCAGAGGGCTGTGGGCAGGCCCTATGGATTAAGGTGAATTGCAAGCAGGCCTGCCGCTGGTGGGCAGCACCCTGAGCTTTGGGACCTTTAAATTGCTGCCGGTGCCCTGTGCAATATGCTGCAGAGACCTGAGCAGTGCTGGGGTTGGGGAGAGGGGACATGCACTTTCAGCAGCCCCTTTTGCCTGGGATCCTGTCCCTTCTGGGGGTATGGGATTGGGGCCCACTCCCTTCCCCAGCAGCACGGCGAGTCTGTGACTATCCTGCTTGCAAGTAACATGAGAGGATCCAGAACGTCTCTCCCTTCTAGCTAGATGCCTCCCCTCTAAAATTGCTAGAATTCAGGTAATCTTCAAATGAAATATTCTAGTATTCTATGCATTAAGGAAGAGAAAATTGATATTTCTAGTCTCTCCATTTTTTTCCAAATGCAAGTTGGACCTCCCTGGTCCAGTACCCTCAAGCCCTGAGCTGTCCCGGACCAAGGAGTTTGCCAGACCCGGGGAGGATAATGCTCTCCTGCTGGCTGCCCCGTTGCCAGCTCCCTTTCTCTGAGGCTCCCCACCCTGCCACTACCCCACTAAAGCTGGCCTGGGGCACCTGCCTGCTGGCTATGCTGGGAGTTCCCAGGTGTTCCCCAGGCAGGGCTGCCCTGCCGCCACCATCCCTGCTACCTTTGGAGGTTGCTGGGGGTTTGCCAGGGTTCCTGGGGTTCTCCAGCCAGGGCTGCCAGGCCAGCCCCACTGCCACCAGGGATTCCCCAGCTGGGGCTGGGCCTGGGGCTGCTGCCTGACCCCACTGTTGGGGTTCCCCAGCTGGAGCTCCTGGGCCACTGCCTGGCCCCATTGCCACCATGTGTTTCCTGGTCAGGGCTGCTCAGCCATCCCAGTCCTGTTGTCATTGGGGGTTCCTGGGATTCCCCGGCTGCTGCCAGCCCCGCTGCCAGGGGCTCTCTGGCCACCTGCCCCGCTGATGCTGGGACTCCGCAGACCCCTTATTCTCCCAGCTGGCTCCCGCTCCTGGGGCTCTGGTCCAGCAACATCCATCTCCTTGCTGGATCGGAGAGTCCTGGATTTGGGAAGTTCAATCTGTAGAAACTGCAGTCTGACAATATTGCTTCCATAGTAGATAAAAAATGTATTTTGAATAATATCTGGGTATATGAATCTTAGTTTGCAAGATGCACCCTAAACTCCCATTAAAGTTCAGTACATCACAGGATAGGTACCTAAAATTGCCACAGGTATAGTATGTAGTTGTAATTCCTGAGATGATATGATTACACAAAACTTTTTGTGTCTAAAACAAATGGTATTAGAGAAGAGGGGACATCCTGGCTCCACTGTATTCAGTGTTTTTTGTCTATTTCCGTCATCTTCAGTGCTTAACCTTGCTTCAGTTCAGTGGGAGTGGGTGGGTGCGGGTCAAAAAAGTAAAATGTGACTTGTATTAGCCTTGTGCATTTGTATCATATATTCAGTGCATGTTGCTGTTGTGTAACATATATTTTAGTGTCTTTTACATGCTATGTACTTTTTCTTCCTTTTTAGTTCTACCTTTAAATGAATTGGAGAAAGGTGTTTAAATAAAAATGTATACTGTTTGGCTGTGTCATCATTGGCATCCCTTTCTGGAAAAGGGATGCTAATGTGAGGAGTCAGAATTGCAAATCCGCGGGGGATTTAAATTTCCCCCGCGGCATTTGCATTTACATGGCTGCTGCTTTTTTCCGGCTTGGGGATAAGCCGGAGAAAAGTGCCAGTCTAGACGCGATTTTCCGGAAAATAAGCTCTTTTCCGGAGGATTTCTTATTCCTCCTTTCAAGTAGGAATAAGAAATCCTCCGGAAAAGGGCTTATTTTCTGGAGAATCGCGTCCAGACTGGCGCTTTTCTCCGGCTTATCCCCAAGCCGGAAAAAAGCGGCAGCCATGTAAATGCAAATGCTGCGGGGGATATTTAAATCCCCCACAGATTTGCAATTCCGACTCCTCACATTAGCATCCCTTTTCCGGAAAGGGATGCCAATGTAGACGTAGCCTTTGTGTTTTTTAAACAGTACAGTTAGTATACCAAAGGAAAATGAGAGTCTTAACAGTAAAATAACCAGAGGGCACTCACAGCTACCTGTAACACAGAATTTGATAGGGGAACTGGCAGTGCCAAACATTGAGGCCACAAATTTCTATTCCCTTGTGCCAACCAACCGTTTTGATCTGGTGAAGTCTCACACTGATTTGTATCAGGTATAAATAACTCTGCAAACAAAAGGGCCCTAAAAAGAGAGCCCCTAAAACTTGTAAACCCTTTTAAGGACAAATCTTTCCCCTTCTCATAATGGAAGGCCAGCCTAAACAAAGAAATTGGGGCTTTGTGATTTTGAAGAGACAGTCGCATATTATTTAAATTGCAATATGTCTTTAAGAAGTTGTCTGTTTATTTAGAAATCAATTTCTAAAAGATATGAAGATTCATATTCATTATGAATTCATTCATTCGATGAAGCAAAACCACAACATCCTGATTAGAATAGCACAAAAATTTTCCTGTGTATGAAGGCAGCAGACAGTTCCTCTCCTCCTGCTGCCAGCTTGCATCAAATGGCAGCTAAGCATACATTCCTGTTTTTCCAAGTATACAATTTCTGTGTTAGCCACAGGAAGATTATGAGCCTGTGACTAGCAAATGAGTGGCTTTTGTAAGAACCAATGATAGAGGATGTGGTCCACATCATAATCTTTCTACTGAAATTTGATGTGAAAGGGGAAAACCTTTGAGGAACACTGATAAGTTATGGCTGAAATGTGTAGATGTTACATTTGATTTTTAACTATTCTTTCTTTGTAGTTTTCAGATACCTATTTTTATTGGCAGGCTGTTGCAAACTGGAGCTTTGCAAATCCTCATGGTTTTACAATGGACACTGAGATGCATTTACTTCAGCCTTGACTTGTATATCCAGCTCACTTAGTTTTCCTTGAAGGAAAACTGTTGTTTCATTATGCATAAAACTCCACAAGCAAGATAAGAAGTAAGTGCTATTTCCTGTGGGTAGCTGAATAGACTACCTATCAGAAATCTATATCTAGTTGGAGAATGAACCCCTCCTCCACCATACTATGTTATCAACATTGTTGTACCAATAAAAGCAAGCAGGATCTTATGAGGGGGATAAGGCAAAAAGCCACATTTATTGTAAAGATAATAATAAAAAAAAATAAAGAAAAGATAGAAGCAAACAACGTTGTTGAACTACTTAACCCATATACATATAAACATTCATTCATCCATTCATTCAGGTTCTGTGTATTTGTTATAGTAACCAGCCTGGAAGTTGCTTGTGACAGAATACTGGTCAGGTACTCTGTACACAAGTGATGGTAGTGGAGAGCGAAGTCGTGATCAGATGCGCATCTGAAGCTCCTGGTAGGCTGGCAGCAGAACCTTGGACTCTGATTCCATAGTTTTTTAGTCCAACTCTTATAGGAATTTTTTCCTATGCCAGTCTATGGAAATTGCTGCATCATGCTGATGTCTCCAGGGTGGCTGCCAGGTGCTCGTCAGTGATCTCATCAGGTGGACCTCCAGTACTTGGTTTTCTCCACTTGACACCTTTTGGTTGCACTGGCACCTGACGCCTTCTTCAGCCCTTTGTTGCTGTATTCTCAGGCTGGCACCTCTCAGAACCATTCATTCATCGTCCAAGCACTCTCTCTCTCTCTTACATACATTCTCTAATTAATGTTTCCCATACAGTATTTTGTATAATATAAAAGTTGTAGTTACAAAAGTTTCTGGGTGGTATTGCTTAAAACATTCTCTGAGTGCTGAGTAAAGTTACAATGTTTTAAAGAGAATGGGCGTCAATTATGTAACAATGCCCTTAGTCAATTACAGGGCTTGGCTCCCATAGCAGAGTTAGTGCCTTGACAATGCATTGTTACAATGTATCTCTGCAATGTCAATTTCAAGCAGCCCCTTGCACAAGCTTGAGCATGCCCTGGGGCACAGAGGGGGGGCTGTTTCTGGCTACATAGGATTATATTCTTAACAGTTCTAAGTTACATGACCTAATACATTATATTCTAAAGGGGCAATAATAATAATAAATCTAAACATTTAACAATCTTAACAAATAATAATAATAAGAAGAAGAATTAATAATAAATCTAAACACTTTAAGTTGTGGGGAACAAATTATGGGGAGTCACTTCCATTTGGAGGAATCATTTTCAATACATTAATATGTTATCCCTACAACATTACTGTTATTTCTTAGTGGTCCTAAAAAGTGTCTCTATATGCCCAGCTCTGGCTCTGTAGACCTGTCCCATAAATTAACAAAATATGCAAATGAAGGCTTTCATATTCATCCACAAAATCCTCAGCCTACCCCATCTTCCATACCCTAAGTAAACAGATGGGTCCTGCAGACTTCCCAAATACAGGATTTAGTGGACCAAAGGGAAAACTGGGTCCCAAAGCAGAATACCCTTTTCAGAAGCTAGTTAAAAATCAAATTCAGAGAACACCCTGACATCAGTTCCCCAGGAGTGGGGAAGAGAGAGGATGGGAGAGGGGAGGGGGAAACCTGGGAGAAGGGAGCTGGAAGGGAGAAGCAAGGGGAAGAAGGGGGAAGGGAAGCTCAG